GATCGTAGACGTCGATCAAGAACGAAGTATTGTATCGTTTACAATTACAGATTGTAATTGTCAATGGCGTAATTAAATTTAATAATGTTACATAATATCACCGAATCAAGTGTTTTGTTAAGAAGCGCTCCATTGATCAATCGATAATGTTCATTTGACGTCTTTAAAGCATTATATAAACGCTTCATATAATTCAGCTTAACTCTTTACATTTACTACTATTAAAATGCTATCAATATATATATTAATTTTTTCAATTTACCCCTAAATGGCTCGGTACGTTTACTACTACCGTTGTTTCTGCTGGAAGTAAACCTACAAAAACAGTGGGATGTTCCTTTGGTGCGGAGAGTACAGAGAGATACGTTTCAATCTTTAGAAAGTAATTTAGAGCGTGCCCGTTTCCTAGGCGTCTCATCTAAAGAATCGAGTTATTGGCTTCACGCTTTACCATCAAGTAACTTGGGCACATTGCTTGACAATGAAAGCTTACGCATTGCTGTAGGAATCCTTCCGGGGGCACCGATTTGTCAACCACACCAATGCCCTTGTGGTGTCAGTGTAGACAAATTTGGTCTCCACGGGCTTTCTTGTCAAAAAAGTGCTGGCCGTTTTTCCCGCCACGGTTCCCTGAACGACATCATCCGTAGGGCTCTTGTTTCCATCAATGTTCCATCTATTTTAGAGCCCCGTGGCATTTTTCGCGACGATGGTAAGAGACCCGACGGTTTAACATTGATCCCTTGGGAGAGACGCAAAGCCCTTGTTTGGGACGCCATTTGTGTAGACACTTTCGCTGCCTCTCATCTAAGGGGTACTTCGGTCAGGGCCGGGGCGGCATCGAAGGCAGCCAAAGTAAGTAAATGGCGCAAATATGAGTCTTCATGTTTAGATTATGTATTTCTACCATTTGCTGTTGAAACTTTAGGTCCGTGGGGTCTCCGCACATCAAAATTTTTTAAAAGTTTATGTCCTAGACTTAACGCCGCGGCTGATGACAAGAGAGCTGGTTCTTTTCTGGTTCAAAGGTTAAGCATAACTATTCAGCGCGGAAATGCAGCTAGCGTTCTTGGCACCATGCCGCGTGGATTAGGTTTATTAGATAATATGTAGTTTTAGATAGATTTAATCTTGTAAATATTAGATCAATAAAGATTTTAAATACAGTTTACAGACATATTAAAAATAAATGCTTTTTTTTTTGTTTATTGCAAATTCTGAAAAATTTTTTTGATGTTATGGGAATATTACATATGACAAGTTTTATAGGTTCTCTGAATATCTTGGGTCTACCAGATATACGGGTAATGATGTCCCATGTGGCTTTTATTTTATTATTTGAATTTAGAATTCTATTTCTAATATAAATATATTTTGCCTGAGTACAGACTTTTTTAAATATTTTTGAAACCGTTTGTACCCGCTTACGGAAATTAGGTCGTGATTCCGCTGCCTCATATTATATAATTCATATGGTGAATCCCTACTTTTATATACACCCACTTTTGCCCAGTCACTACATTTTAATTTAGAATTTTTTGTACCCCGAGTTTGAATTGCCGATGCACGCATACTAGAAATATACTGTTGACTCTAAACGCAGGATAATTCTATAGAACGTTCGACAGAGTACACAGGATATAGTGGCACAATCCTGTCGATTTTCACATACTATATCAGTTCTTACTAATACAAGAGAGCTATCGCGAATAGCATTTATTCTTACGAACGAGCTTAATAATTTATAGTTTTCTATATCTACAATATTACGGTTATGTAATCATGTCTCTGTGAAGCAGCTGACATGAATATTAAACTTTCTGAGAAACAGGTCCTTTGCCACCTATGCCTTGTATATTTTGATGAACAAATGAATTATTAATTGTAAGTGGCTTAGGTGTTGTCTCAATGAGTACATTATTAAATGCCAATTGAAATCCATCATAGCTTTTTATTCAGTCAGACCACAACGAAGTTCGTAATCAATCATGGACCGAAAATTTTCTCACCTAAAATTCATGTTGAAGTTAAACAACATGAATTTTAATATTAATTTTGGAATTGCCACCAATTCACAAAAACAAATGAAAAATCAGTGCAATATGTCACATAACATATAAGGTTACCAAAGAGTTCTATATTCAAAGTTAAACAAAAGTTTTCATTGGCAATGTTTCTAACTGGTCAGTTTTACTTTCAGTCACCGTGGCATGACACATGTCTCTGGCAAGGACAATTTACCTGAAGCTTAATTGAAATGACCGTGTAACTTGTGTCCACAGGTAAGACCGCGAAATTCGCAACGCAAATATCTATCTATCTATATATATCTATATATAAAACTGAATCTTATTTCCCTTGGACACGCCATCACGCGTGAACGGCTGGAGCGATTTCACTTTCTTTGTTTTGTTTGTTATTATCAGGAGAACCTTCTTATGAAAGAAAAAAAGAAAAAATTGCCTGAAAAGTCTAAAAACAACACTTCTATATTCCCGTACAAAACATTCGTAATAATACTTAAAATTAATTTGAACTTTAATACCATACCATAAAGTTTAAGTGTTAGTGGAGGGGTTCCGCGAAGGTAAAGCAAGTGAGTGACTGTGGTAAAATGTCACTTGAAATGTAAACGTCTCTTTGCTGTGCATCACTACATAGTATAAAACAAAGTCGTCACGCTGTCTGTCTGTCCCTCTGTATGCTTAAATCTTTAACGTAATTTTGAACGTATTAATTTTTATGAAAAATTTTTGACATTTCATAAGGACGCGCAAGCGTCTATGTGAATAAATATATTTTTGATTTTGATTTTTAAAACTACGCAACGGATATTGATGCGGTTTTTTTACTAGATAGAGTGATTCAAGGGGAAGGTTCATATGTATAATATATTGCACCCATGCGAAGCCGGGGAGGGGCGTTAGAAATCTTATAAAACCAACCTTCATTGATAAAGCTTATTAATATTTGTAATAATCATTTTTTCGTTTTGTCTGTTAAATTAGGTAGTAGAATAAGATTTACTGATCATAGTATTTTTCAAAACAAGTACATTAAACAGATACATTCTTATTTTATATACAAAAAAATAAAGCTCTCGTTATATTTTCTATTTCATTCGTGGAATGCCCTGATGTTATCTTCGAAATCCAAGATTCATTACCAATTTTAACACCGACGTGCAATTATTGTATACGTATATGTAATATATACGTATACAATATGAATCTCGGAAACTGCTCCAAAGATTTTCTTGAATTTAAGTATGCAGGGGGTTTTTGGGAGCGATAAATCGATGTCATTTCTATCGGTTTCATTTCTAAAAAACATCCTCTTATCCATGTTTTCGGGCAATGAAAAACTGCTACAATATCATTTAAATAAAACTTAAATTCTGCCACCATCCTACAAGGTTATAATAGCTCAAGTGGGAAATCGGGCGGTCCCGAAAACAGAAGAACTCGGCAAGAGTCCAGTTCATCCCCAAACCCAAATCTTCCGGAATTCCGGACGGCTGTTGCCATTGTCCCATGAAAAATGTTTCTGGTACCGTCAAATAATTTGGGTCGCAGATGACGTGACTAGCCCAGACTTATTATCATTTAAGACTAGCTGCTGCCCGCGACTACATATGCGTAGAATAGGCTAAAGGCGTAACATTCAGACAGAAAGACAGATGTACATAAAAATATGCATATAAATTATAGCCTATGTCTTATTCTGATGTATGAGCTATATTATTGTGAAGTTTCATTAAAATCCATTCAGTAAAATTTGCGTGAAAGAGTAACAAACATCCATCCATACATACAAATATTAGTAAGGATAGTACGAAAGCAAATCGCAATAACAGTAGGCACTTGATAAAGCGTAGTTTCCAGAGTGCAAAGACACTTCTATGGTATGAATGCCATATTATTTAAGAGAGCTTATGTATTTAGTTCTTTTTTTAAGCAATTTAAATTAATTTTATTTTAACAAGTATTGCTGTTTCACTAATGGGCGGACTCGACCGGGGAAATAGGCCCCATGGCTTCACGGAAGACCGGCGTGAAATGGAAGTGTCATACTTCTGCGTTTCGTCTCGCGGAGGTAGCCGGGGCCCTATTAATTAAAAGGTGGCAACGCATCTGCAATCCTACGGTTCTTGCAAATGTCCATCGGCGGCGGTTACAACTGAACCGCCACTCGTTTGTCACATTCGCACATAAAAATAAAAAAACTTTGTAATAAATTATTGATTTTAATGAAGAGATTTTGTTTTTTTTTTTTTGTTGACATTATTGTTGACCCAAATGATAATAAAATAATAAAAATATTAGTTTTCTTATTGTTACAAGTAGAAATAGTGATAACTATTCCCGATTAGAGTAAAATAAAAAAACTGTCTATAACCTCACACGCGCGCGCTGTGATTGTATACATTATTTGCTACTCACACTAAAACGTCAATCACGAACCGCGCACACATATGTCTGCCTTGTGTTTACGATATGTTGCATTAGTGTGATGCGATGTTGCACGCGATCGGATGGAAGTGCAACACGGCGTCGGGGCTTTTATTCATGTGCTGTTTCTTAATATGAATTTAGTAAATTATTTTATTAAAAATATTTTGATTTATTTCCAGTTAAAACAACGCTTTATATAATAGTTTGAATAAAGCAAGCTGTTAATACTACTACACATTTTAAAAAAATATTTAGATCAATACTTTTCAATAAATGTTTTAACACTCTTAACAATCTTATTTTTTGTTTGAATGAAGGCTGAATATTGTTAAAAAATATATTCCTTGTATTAGTGAATCTTTGTTAGCCAACAACAAGTTCTTATCGTTTTTAAGTGCAAATAGATATTGCTGTCATGGAAATAGATACAATTTTTTTTTATTAAAGCGTAGTTGAATGTTGTGCGGCGATAAGTTAAAGATTGTGTAACCGTTTCGTACTCGCCACTTTGCCACTGCAATTCATCATCTCTTCTATCTAGAAGAGATGATGAAAATTGATTGCAACTATGCACCGCACAGCAATAAATGCAGGCGCATGGCGAGGTGGGGAGCGGGGCGGGGCGGCGGGGTGGCTCGCGACCAGCGGCAGTCGCATCGTGACCGCGCGTCGCGCTGTGTGTGCGATCGCTCGTTGCACGGGAAAACGGCGCAACGCCATCCCGCCATGGTGTCCGTTGGTGCGTGGAGGCGCCGATCGCCTGACGAATGCGACGAGCGGACGGAGCCCGGCGCCTCCAGTTCGGGCGTGCCACGGGCGCCGCCTAACTGCGCCCGCTGCCGCAACCATCGCCTCAAGGTCGAGCTGAAGGGCCACAAGCGCTACTGCAAGTACCGGTACTGCACGTGCGAGAAGTGTCGCCTCACGGCCGACAGGCAGCGAGTGATGGCGATGCAGACGGCCTTGCGACGTGCCCAGGCGCAGGACGAGGCGCGCGCTCGTGCGCTTGAACTCGGACAACAACCGCCTGGCATCGAGTTGGAGCACCCGGAACCGCCTATTGTGAAGGCGCCACGAAGCCCCGCTGTGCCGGCGCCTCCGCCCCCAAGGTCGCTCGGCTCCGCCAGCTGTGACTCCGTACCTGGATCCCCAGGAGTGTCTCCTTATGCGCCGCCGCCACCCTCGGTGCCACCGCCGCCGACGATGCCACCGCTGCTACCGCCGCAACAACCCGGTCAGTAGTCACTCGCATTCCATACATTCCATAGTGAAAACGAACAAAATGCCGCGTAACATCTTCGAAGATGCCTGCGCGCATGTGCGATAACGGATTTTAGCGTCTGATAAATTGTGACCTATAACCGATACGGTAAACACAATAATATTTAGCCAAACTTAACCGTAACGCGTACAATCTTCGTCGTCTAGTAAGCCAAGCGTAAGTGCAAGCGGCCGCAATTTGAATGACACAACCTGCAAATATTTGCCCGGCTATCATGAGTTACTATGTTGAATAATCATTGTCTGTGTGACCTACAACGCAGTGCAATGCAGTTTATGTTGGCCTGTTACTAGTTGCAACGGGGTTACTTCTTAACGAAAAAAATATAGATGACTTAAAAATATTAAGTACAGAATATGAAACATTCGATGTTTCCGCCATTAAATTACATTTTTTACAATAAATTAACTAAAAAGGTAAAGCTCGTGCTGTATTGTAACAATTTAAAACGCTGCGTGCTAGATTAAAGATTTAAATTCTTTTTATTGGCAGATTCACAGATTTACAAACAATTATGTGACTTAAAAAAAATACAGACTATAAAACAATTGATTTTCCGCCATTAAATTAGAGTTTATTTAAATAAATGAATTAAAAAGTTAAGCCCGTTGCATTGTAATTAAATAAAGGATCTAAATTCTTTTCATTGACATAATCACTGATTTACATTACTCATTTTAATTTATTTATGCATAAATGTTGTTTAATTAATAACTAAGTAAATAATCCGTATGCTTTGTGTTGACAATCAGATAATGGTTACTGAATGATAAAGGCTTAGATATCTAGAACACTTTGTCAATCGGTGGTACAATTATTACTTATGCGCTTTATGACGTGCCTGATAAAATATATATTCATTATTTTTTTTATACTTTAAACTCGTCTCTCTACTAAATCTCGTTTTACACCAATCTCCTTTTTCTACTAAAATTGAAACAAATTGAATTGAAAAGTTATTAAATTCATGTACATGATAATTTCAAAAATGCTATGTAAATCATAAATCATTTTCGAAAATTTCAATTTTGCTAAATTTTATAACATTTTACGTGGTCACACTTTCTGTTAGTTTACATTATAGACGATTCTATTAGAGAAACAATAAGAAAAACGCGTTCTGCTCATCTCATTTGAGTGCAAGTGCATAAACAAACATATAAACCATGTAAAAGAGCTTGATGTTTTTGTTAAAAAAGGTGGTTCGTAATGATTTTTTTTAGGATGCAACTAAAAAAAAAACATTGTTAGTAATGATCGAACTGTTCAATACAACAATACCAATGGAGATTCCGGCATTATTTCTATCGGCTAATTAAATTTTAATAGCATAAAATTTAACGCGGCGCACGCATAAGAGAGAAATTACACGCTTTTTTGTATTTCTACTTTCATTTTTTATGCTTGTAATTCTGGCATAGCATTGCTTTTTCCAAATAATAAAAAAACTGTTATACGTCTTTAGACCACCTCTATTAATAAACATTGACATTATCTGTGTCTCAGACTAATGGCGGGCGGGGCTGGCTGTCATTAGGCCTAGATTGTTTTCTATGACGATATGCTAAAAACGTAAGAAAATAATTATATCTGACCTTTTTGCGTTCGATGAAAAGCCATCATATTGCATTTTGTGAAGTTTTTATGATTCGGAAAAATTTCCGAAATTAAATTTTGGAAAGATTAGAAAAAAGTATCAAGCAGAACGATTTGATGTCCATATCATAACCTATGGCAAACAATGGCCTTTAATTCTCCTCTGTCGCGCGTCAACACGCATAATTATTTTTTTTTTTCAAAATATGGTGATTGCCGAAAATGTTTGCCTTATAACTTTGTCAATAGTTGCCACTCTTTCAATTAAATTATTTGTAATTAATAAACGTGTCTGTAATGTCAGAAATTACGAAAATATTTTTCTTTGTAATTATTTTAGGTTTTATTGTAACAATTTTTAACTTTTAATAGTATTATGCTAATAATGTAGTGATCAGAAATCGGTTAAGGTACAAAATAATAATAAAAGATGTAACATCATTATAAAGAGAAAATAACAGTGTATCAAAAATACTAATATTGTATTGTCATGGATTCTACCCGTTACTAAGGTGAAACCTATTATGTATATATTTTTATACATAAATTAATAGATACCTTTTAGTGAAACAAGTATAAATAATTGAAAATAATCGTCTATTTGTTGGCAGGTCGGTTATTGGACTCGGACAATGCGTGTTCTATTATATTATAGATTCTGCAAAATGGATGAATGTCATCGAAATTTTCGAGATAATGGCCAGTATGATAAATAATATACAAGCAAGCTGTAAACATATACAGTTATATATCTATATAGACCCCAGTTTATTGAATAAAGTTCAATATTAAGTTATATAAAATAAAGACACAATAACTCTTTAGTGATATATTTTAAAGCGCAAATAATAATAGATGTTATAATATAATAAAAATAAAGTTTAACACTACCACCTGCATTTTGACATTTGAAACAAATACGTCTAACGATGATGATGACTTGAATGTATGAGTTAAAATGATAAAAGGTAACTTATAAGGAGTAAAACAGACTCATCGTTGATAATTATGTAACATTTTTGTGTCTCAAATGCATATATTTATGAGCATAAATATTCCGTATGAAATCGTTGCCAAATGTTAGAAGTCCGCGAAGGAAAAAGATTAAAAAGAAATTGGCGATTTCGATGAAATTGGGTACGACGTACACCTTTGTTTTTTTGTTTCCTTGTTCAATTCACAATCCGGCAATGACTATCGCTTTATTTCCAACTTGGCCAGACTTTTACGTAGCGTCAACGATTCTTTCGTTCCATTTATTTACATTGCGAAAGAATAGATTCCAATCATAATCACAATTCAGTTCATTGTCCTCTGAAATAAAGAGTGCTGAGTGAGTGAGTATGTTTAAATTTTAAATAAACTTATTGTTATCTTATAAATACAAAGATTATGACTTCTTCAGGAGTAGTACGTTTCTCGTATAAATGTCTCGACACTTGAATTTAAAGTGAATTCGTTTTCAAATTATATTATATGTTTAATTTTATCACTCCGTATGTTGGTAATATTTAACATACACGCAATTATTTAAGATGAGAGAATTTTAATGAAAAGGAAAACTCACTTTTAATGTGGAACATTATCCACCAACAACAATTAAAAAAAAATGGCATCTTAATTTCGAACACTGTAAACCCGAGTGTGCTAATTTGAAAGCGTGGGCCCGCACTGAGCTATCACGGCTAAGGCTACGACTGAAATCTTGTTTATTATTTGAATATTTCTCAATGAATCTAGTAAAATTACAATTTAATTTCACATTTCAGAATTGTTTGACACGGTCTGATGTAGTGTTGATTAAGTTCAATTTCTTATTAGTAGTTAGGAAAACAACAATATAATTTAACGGAAGACAACATTAATAAAACAATAAGATGTGTCAGTGATGACGAAAACCTATCAGTTATTGTTTTTAACCGACTTCAAAAGACGGAGGTTATTTAAATGAAAAGTTGTCAAGCGAGCAGGCGGTTCCCCTGAAGTGATCACCGCCGCCCATGGATATCTACAACACCTGGGCTTGCAGATGCATAGACAATCTTCAAAATAAGCGGGTTCCGTCTTCCTTAATCATCAGACGAAACGCGAAAGTATTATACTTCCACGTCACGCCGGTCTTCTGCGAGGCCGTGGTACTTCTCCGGACGGAACTACCCATTCGTGCGACCGTCGAAGCTGCTGCGTAGTCAACAGCTAAATTAATCAATTATAATAACGAAATTATTCCTTTTTAATTATTATCACTACACAGTATAAAACAAAGTGGTCCCGCTGTCTGTCTGTCCCTATGCATGCTTAGATCTTTAAAACGACGCAACGTATCTTGATACGGTTTTATGCTAGATACGAGTGTTTTAAGAGGAAGGCTTATACGGATAATACATTGCACCAGTGCGAAGCAGGCGCGGGTCGCTAGTCATATATTATATTAAAATGTTTAGCATTCTTACTTTCTATGCTTATTAACAATATTTATTGATAAACGTGAAAATATTAAGCAATTTCTTTGCAAAAATTACAGTTTTATATTCAATACTATTCCAAATTAAATCTTAATTAAAAACAATTTACTTGAACTTTCACTAAACGCAAACCCGTTCTCAACTGCAAGTAGCATATTTTGAGGATTTCATCTATTATTCTCATTGACGGAGGTCGCAACCGCACCGCCGGCAGGCAACAGACGATAAACTATCTCGACACTGTTACATCAATTCCGATATAAGACTGCAATCAAAATTGCAACTGATAGCGTACAGTGTCAAACGAGGTGAGCCTGATAACATTTGAATGTTTACTGTGAAACAAATTGCATTATTGTAATCGCTATGCGCGACACGACGTTTGCTCCCAATTCGCGTGCCCTAGTACAGAGGTCGGGAGAGTATTGAAATACGAACGGCAAAGTTATACGCTTTTTATGGGACAAATTATGTATAGGCAGACGTCAGATTTGTGTATTCATTCTTTAACATCAACATAACACAATACTTTGCAATTTCTCTGGTTGCTGCTGAGTTTATGTTTAAGAACTTGGCATAAATTGTTAAAAACACTGAGACAAGAAAATGAGCGCAGAGTTTCCTGCAGGTCCTAAACAGATGAAGCGGTTTTTTTTTACGTTCAATTAGAGCTTTAACACATGTTTACATTGAATAAATAAATTTTTACATGCGTGTTTTGCTCATCATGCCTTACTTCGCCGTAGAGCGCGTGGCAAATCATAAGTGGTTTTGCACTTAATACTGCAATGGAAAATTTTGTTCGTACCGGAGTTCCTACGCTAAAGCTGGACGACCAACCATGGCGGTAAAGTTTTTATCCCTAACGTGTCAGATACGGCTTTGGTGTTTAAAAT